ACAATTATGTGTATATAGTTAAGAGAAATCATGAACTTAGTAAAGAAATAGAAGCCCCTACACCTTAAACAGAGAAAGCATTTAAGTTAATATTTAATCAGTCTGGCTTCATGTGTCTATTTGAAATAAAAGATAAGGATACATTTCAATCCAAATACGCAGACACCATTTATATTTACCTACACACACATAGGACTATGCATCTGTAGTTAAAACTTTCACTAATATTTAGACATCAAAATGAATTTTGATTGCATAACACAATTAATAGTTTAGCTTTATAGTAAATAGCTTGTTACAAAATATAGTTTGAAGTAAAAACATCGTTGAATTATTATATAAGGCAATGCGAGTTGTAAAAGCCACCTAAAGTACTTTCCCTCAACAACCTTTTACAACTTGATTAGCTACTGGTCCATTCATCTTTTCTTTCACTCCTTATATTTCAGTAATACCTGCCCGCTTATGTTTTACTGCCATATTTTGGTGTAAGATTGAGATGGTCCATTTGTCAAACCATATTTAAACTTCAATTTGGTATTTAACTCGTTGAGTACAGTCATTATTGACACAATTATAGAACAATAGGTTGCGGTCACCGGTGACCGCTTGGTGTTTGACAGTTTAAAAAATGTGTTGAAGAAAACGAGATGAGTATAAGAATACAAGAAAAGAATAACGCTAATAATCAGATGTATTGTAATTTTGTTAAAGTCTATTTTAACGGACATCAAATGCACTATAAATAAAACCTTATATAAACACAGATAGCGTTACTTTTCCCAATAAATACAGCACTAATTAAAATGCCAACGTGAGCAGTGCACGTGTATGTTCTAAACAAAACCAATTTATTGTTTAATCGTGACACAACAATTAAAAGTGTAGCTGTAATTAAAAATAATATCTAAAACAAATCTGATAAAGCAATAAATACAAGTGAGATATTTTTGTGATGGAGACAAAAAATCGAAAGAATAAAGATGGAAACATTTGGCATTTCAATACATAGTATAAAACAAAGGCGCTATCCGTCGTCTGTATGTCCCTATGTATGCTTAGATCTTTTAGACTACGCAACGGATTTTGATGCAGTGTTTTTTAATAGATAGAGTGATTCTAAAGGAAGGTTTATATGTATAATACATGCATATTACACCCGTGCAAGACCGGGACAGATCGCTAGTGTCAAATATATTTTCATCATACCTACATCAGTTATATGGGTATGATAAGTAAACATCGATTTGAGTACACTAATAAAGTTTTTATTAATGATCTATATCTATCTCATTTTAAGTAAGTATGATGTAAGTGTGGTGATAAATAAATAATTAATAAAAAAAAAATTTTGGTTAAAACACAGACAGTCTCCTAAACCTTGACTGATTTGGTGTTAAAATCAGAAAGCCGGACATAGGAAACTAAAAAGTTTGAAGACATAGATACAGCTATGCAATTTATTTTAATAGATTCGCCACTGTTTACTGCAATAAGTGACATAAGCTAATGTAATTGTGAGGTAATGGCGTTGCATCAAATGCAAGATGAAATGTTACATCAGATAGACGAGAGAAGATTTGATGCGCAATTATTGCAGTATACTTCACAAATAGAGAAAGACAAATATTGAAATGAGTCATCACGTCTCAATTAAAAATAATAGTCCGTATGCAAATAAAAGTTGAACATTTAATTCCAAAAAAATATAGATATTTTTTTAGAAGACGTAATTAAAAAGGCACAAAGTGACATTTAGAAATAATCTAAACTTTTAATACAAAACTAGTTTTCTATCATACAGAGCTAGAAGAACAATAAGTGTCAGCATGTAGGTACCTAGTAACAGACATGTTATTGCATTCTACCTGCTAAAGACGACCTCCAAAATGAATGTCATTCTTTTTAATCAGCTTTTTTCAATTTTATGCAACATAATTGCATTTATTAACTAACACAGACGTTTTATGAAGATATGGCATTTTCAAGTGGACTCTTAAATTCTAATAGACAAATGATCTTGACCTTTATGCGATCATAAGTTTAAAGGCCAAATTAATTTTCTTGAAATAAATCAGGCGGCTACTTTTGAAATACAAAAGAAGTTGAATTAAGTTTTTGTTATTTATGAGTAAAAGAGCTTGTACCTTATTCGAATTGGCTTGGTGGCATATAAAACTGTCATTGTTAACCTTGAATTTCTCTGGCTTAACTTAAACGTCCCTAACATTTGATAAAATGTTGAACATTTTTATATCTAGATCAAACATTGTCACCACACGAACTTAAGTAAACAAAGACGTTCTCAAAAATGGAAAATGTAAACAACCAAGGTCAGAGAACGAGCTCAAAATGTGCTCAGAATGAGGTTCTTATCAGTAATAGGGTGCATTTACAACCATCCTGTGTTTGCACTTTCATAAACATCGGGGACCTTTGTTTGATAGTGTGGCTTGTTTATACACCTTGATAAAACGACCGATGTTTTTTTCATCACTTAGATACATTAGGAATATAGACATAGGCACGCAAGCAAAGAATTTCTTGAAAAAACCTTCTAGCTCAATATTTCTGGATTAATATTCTTTGAATACTACAAACATGAATAATATTGTAAAACGTTTATTATCATCAATAACTATAAAAATATTTCCGTATTTTATAAACGTTTGCAGTCGTTAGAAAGTTTCAAGACCGCGCCATATACATTGATGTCTGAATGAGTTTCTATAGTTTACATTGTTGTTCTACATTTAATACGTAAAATATAACGTTTATAACTCTATTGGGGTTGAACAATGGTAATAAAATGTTGTTCTTGTAAGCTGCCGTTGTTAATTGCCTTTATTTATAGATCTCTCTTGATTGACGATTGGTTTGATATCAAATAGTTACTAATTTATTAACGGATTTTGTTTGTCAACATTATAATAACTTGTTTATCCATACTATAACAGTTTTCGTTGAGTTACGTTATAAAGTCCAATAGTAATACTCTGTACTATTAAATTATAGCATTCCTATTCACTAATTTGTCGCAAATAATCTTTCATTACACCAAACGTTACTTAATAATGAATGACGCTTAATTTCGGCAACCCTATGCATTTATAGTTCCAAATGTCACTGCAGTTATGTCATATATCTATTGACATTTAATTCGGTGATATATTTCGGGTCACCCAATTCAATGACATTTCGATTATTCCATTGTTTTAAATAAGTAAATGAATTGTGATCTAACTTTTTTTCACGAATGATAAATATTTTATTCTGTGATCGAAGAAACAATCAGTTTACAGTCTTCTTTATATCATATTCAATGACAGATAAAAGTCAAAATTTCAATATTTAACCTCAAACCAAAACTACACGTCAAGTGTGGGAGAGCCATGCTTCGGCACGAATGGGCCGGCTCGACCGGAGTGATACCACGGCCTCACAGAAAACCGACGTGAAGCAACGCTTGCGTTGTGTTTCGTCGTGTGAGTGAGGTTACCGGAGGCCCATTTACCTTCCCCTTCCCCAATCTCCCCAATCCCTGAATCCCCAACGATCCTCAAACTCCTAATCCCCAAAAAGCCGGTGACGCACTTGTAGCGCCTCTGGTGTTCCAGGTGTCCATGGGCGACGACGATTGCTTACCATCAGGTGATCCGTCTGCTCGTTTACCGGCTTATGCCATAAAAAAAAAAAAAAAAAAAAAACATACATTCGTATCGTTGTTCGTGTCGTTGTTGTAAGTACAATACTCTGATATATATCAGAGTATTGTATATCATCATCATCATCATATATATATATCAGAGAATGTATGTAGGTACAATTTTTTAATGGGTTAAGCCGGTAAACGTGCAGACAGATCACCTGATGGTAACCATCGGTGTCGCCTTTGGACACTCGAAACCCTAGAGGATAGGAGTATTGAAACAAAAAGAGGAATAAGTAGTGACTTACTTTTTACGTGTTGTAAAAGTAAGTCGAATTTGGCAACGAAACAACAATGTTTTGTTCAGTTCATTTGTTTTCGAAAAGTTTAAGAAAAAGTTTGTTGTGCGCAATTGCTCTCTTTTGCAACTTGTTTTAAAACTTGGATGGCGAAATACGCCGTTACCACTGTAGGATTGCGCAGTGGTACATGTTTCTGTAGGAGATCCGTTTAAAAAAAACATCTTCTGGTGTATTTTTATTAAATATTTGATATCTAAAGTTTAACATAATATTATGGATAAAAACATAAGCATTACGACCAATATTTTAAACACAAAATTATGAATTAAAGATGAAAAGTTTTGCAAAGAGAAATGTGCAAAACTTTCGCGAAATTCATCGCAGCCATATCTTTCACCGGTCGATCAGACGGCAGCTTACGCAAAGAATAATTAAACAGATATAAACAAATCGGTCCGCGCCCATTGTTTACTAAAGAGACATACAAAGCTCGTTTCGAAGGTAAATTTATTCTAAACAGAAGCTCCGGCCACGAGTGCCGCACGTAAGATGAGTCAGAGACCTTTTCACCTGGCCAGCCAGCCATTGTTTATTCTGGACGCAACCACGTCCCTAACGTTTTCCCTCACATTTTCGTTGGTGACTTTAAAAACTCTAAACGCTCCATTTGAATATTCATAACACCATTTATGAATTATGAATGTTTTAGAATTTATAATTTCTCGCTTTTTACCAGTCACATGACTTTGTATAGAAACTTGTTTCTCTTGAATATTTCATTATTACCCACTTCGTATTTTTTTTCAATCTCAGTTCGTTAAGAGTGTTGGTGTTCGATATAATGACGAGATAATCAATCAGTACGTTAGTTTTATGTTCGGAACTTTCTATCAATAAGTTTTAATCTGAAACCTATCTAGGCATTGCCTAATAATCTCATGATCTCCGATATGATTGGTAATATTTAATGAACGTGATTCTGCTAAGAAAGCTTTCTCCGCCACCGTTAAAGTTATACAATAAGCATAACTGTAAACATCCGTTCTTACCTCTGCTTAGGCAAGTCCGTTAAAATTCCGGCACACTGCTTTTAAGATACACTAACACTTATTCGATTTTAGCGAGTCGATCGAGCGTCGGATCCCCGCACCGTTATTCACGTCATATGTGTGTCAAATAACGAGAAAAATTCTCACAATCTCCGTGGGCACTCACGTAGGGAGCCGTGGAACACAATCACTAGCACAAAGGTTTTGATGCACAATATCACTGTAATGCGGGTATTTGGTGGTAAGTGCAGGGAGTGCACAGTTGCGCGCGCGGCGTTTGTGTTGCGCGTGGAGTCGTGTTTCGCGCGCACTCGTACAGCGCAAGCGTCGGTCGTGCGCCCGCCTCTCACTCGCGTCGGCGACTGGCGCTCGCCTCCTTCACCTTCGCCGCGCGCCCGCCCGTTTCGCAACCTCAGCGGTTTCCTTGCAGATATCTTGTTGCATGGCAACTGTTGAAACGATGTGACGCCGCAATAACAAACTTATTTTCGAACAAATCGATTTTATTCCAATATTTTTTTTGTCTTTGAACGCGAGTCTCTTCGAGCGAAGTGTCCCACTGTGCACGCACTGTTATAAATCGGTGAACAGGTTGACGCACAATGTAAACAAACAAAACAGCTATGCCTGGTGTGCTCAAACAACTGCCACTCTGAACTTTTAAATCTTGCAATTTAAAATTTAATTATCCTTCGCTTTTTCAGAATTAAAATAAAAGTGCATTTAAAAGTCGAGCAAACTTGAACTGTCCAACATCAAACCCGGAACTTGAGAGTGCAGACAGATGCACAGGTCGCACTATACCAAACTATACAAAACTGGTTGCATTGCTCTTGATCTTAACAAAGGCTGTAAGCCTTTCAAAACTACTCGAATACCTAATAGTATCTATAATAAAATTTTACAAGAGAATTGAACCGAACGTGACCGAGCGAATGAACGTGAACTTTCTATCGATAACAAATCGATTATTGTTACAATTCTATGAAATAGCACATATCGATATGTGGTGAAACACTGATGAAATCGATACTGTACTGTATGAACAATTTACGTGTCACAATTATGATGTATCGAGTTTTGATTTCGATTGTCTTCAGTTAACGAATGGGCGTTGATATCTTTTGGCTGCGCGGTTGTGTTGTACTGCTGCGCTATCAGTACAATCACTTTCTAAGTGAGAAAATATGTTAGAATATATTTATTATAATAGATTATTTATTATTGCACCTATCTTTGGTTGGAATGAGGAAAGTAGTTTGAATGTTATTTATTTCGTATTTGTTATCGAAATTACTTAAATAAAAATCGAAAATTTGTAAGTATTTATCATGCGACCGACTTATGACTGCATTAATGCATTATGCATATGATACGATATGCATTATAACAACCCTTTTGTGTAGCAACACATGCAATATTCCGTTACGTATATTATACTAAACTACCACTTACAAGCCTATATGCCTTTTAAAAATACAGGCAGCATATCAAGCTTCACCTAACTGCCAAACATCTTCAATGGATTTTCAACCTTGTCCATTGAACAACTGAGTTGAAATTCCATGAAAATAATTGTACACTCCAAGATACCTTTATCTGCTTGTGTATATAAAGTACATAATACATGCACTTATTGGTACTCACGGCGACACATGAAGCTATAAAAACCAGTATAAGCTGACCGTTGAATTTGGCGACGGATCAAGGAAAGCTAGACCATGATAAATTGGTTTTGCATAGCTTCATGTGTGTAGGTACTAAAAGCGGATGTTACATGCGATAAAATTATACCCTAAAGACGGATAGGGGTTAAATAAGTGGTTTATGTAATATCTAATTACAACTAGGTATCGGCTAAGGCTTTAAAGGAAGCTATTGTAATAGAATGATTATTTAATAGGTTAATGCACTTGACTGCATAGCATAAGGTTCTAGTTTTTGTATTTTGGGGTTTTCGGGTTCTAAGTGCTGAGTACTAATAAAGTAAAAGCTTGATGAAATACCTATCCATTATTTTTCAAGCTGTGGTTTCTTGAAGGGTTCAGTAAGATAATTATCCTTTATTTTATTTTTAACCGACTTCAAAAAAGGAGGAGGTTCTCAATTCGACCGAATATATGCTTTTTTTTAGATTAAAAAACAATAGTATATAAGTGTGGGAGAGCCAGGCTTCGGCACGAATGGGTTAGCTGGACCGGAGCAAAGAAAACCAAAGTGAAACAACGCTTGCGTTGTGTTTCGTCGTGTGTGTGAGGTTACCGAAGGCCCAATCCCCTTCCTCTCCCCAATCTCCTCATTCCCTGAATCCCCAACGATCCTCAAACTCCTAATCCCCAAAAGGTCGGTAACGCACTTGTAACGCCTCTGGTGTTCCGGGTGTCCATGGGCGACGCCGATTGCTTACCATCAGGTGATCTGCTCATTTACCGACTTATGCATTAAAAAAATTCTTTTGCTAACGGTGGACAGTTTTTCATGCTAAATACCGTCAATGAGAAAACAATTATATAATGCTTTACTGGCCTCGGAAATCAAACCCTGTATTGAATAAAATGTGCTTACAACTAATACTAATTGTCCAAAGCAAACCAATAAAGCTATGAAACTTACATAAACAGTAGAAAACTCATTATTTAAAGTTTAGACGAACCACAGTCATTGAGACATTACAATCAAAAACGTGATTAGATAAATATCATACTTTGTAGATACCCACATCAAGCTATTCAATTCCAGTTTATCATGATCTCGTTCTGTATTATCTTTCTGCACACTCCACGGTCAATTTATACTGGTTTTGCATACCTTGATGTGTAGCCGTCATAGGTCTAACACGACATAAGTATAGTCACGCAATGGCTATATGAAGGGAACTCGTTAGTATACAATTATGAAGGTAGATGAATATTATTATAGCAAATGCTTTGAAGATTCAAGATTTCACTTTTGTTAGCAACATCAGCAAGTTCTCCGGCTGGAGAGTCATAAACTTCCGTCATAATTATGTGCTCACTAGCTGATCTATCTTAAATTATCATTCTCAATGATCAATGGAATGGTAATCATCAGTGATCATTAACTGGTGAAAAAATGCATGGACGAACTAGGTGTTATTAGTAGTTGGCCTGGGAGTAGTAACTTTTTTATGGACTAAGCCGATAAACGAGTCGACGGATCACCTAATGGTAAGTAATCGGCGTCGCCCATAGACACCCGGAACACCAAAGGCGTTACAAATGCGTTACCGGCCTTTTGGGGATTTAGGACTTTGAGGATTGTGGGGGATTCAGGGATTGGGAAGATTGGGGAGGGGGAGACGTAATTAGGCCTCCGGTAACCTCACTCACACGACGAAACACAACTGAAGCGTAGTGTCACGTCGGTTTTCCGTGAGGTCGTGGTATCACTCCGGTCGAGCCGGCCCATTCGTGCCGAAGCATCGCTCTCCCACACTTGACAACTAGGCAACCGGCTACAGTAGTGCCGTGAATTCGATTGTCATACAGCTTAACTGTTTGTGAGATACATAAATTGTTGTTCCGGGTCTAAGTGTAATGTTTATGTGATTTTGTATCTTTGCAATCACGACGAGGTAGTTTGATTTGATGAATATAAATAATACCTACGATAGCAAATGTTTGGAAGATTTCACTTTTCTAAGTATAAGACTCCTCTCTAAAGAAAACACCAAGATCTCCAGCAGACAAACAATATTTATTTCTTTAGGTAATTATTCCCAACTGAGTATAGCTTACACAACCGTACAGTTCCGTGAGCTCGCTCCTAATGCCGCCATTGTCCAAGTGTTCCCCATTGAGAAAATGTCATTTTATTTTTTAAATGATTTCGTTAGGTGATACCAATTAAGCAACTTAATTTTACTATTAAAAATTATAAAATATAAATTAAATGTAGGGTCTAAAAATATGACTAACCTTACACTCGTCCATCCTGACACCGTGTATGTCCCCATACACGTTCCCGGTGGACTAACCTTACACTTGGCCAATAGCGATATTTTACAAAATTTATTAAAGATAAGGGTGAAACAAAATGAATCTAATGAAAATAAATCTAAATACATCAAAGTAATTATAAAGACGAGTTCATCATAATAGATCAATAAATGAATAAAAGTAAAAAAAAAATAAAAATAAAAATTAATGGAAAAAAAAAAAAATACATTTAAATTGATTACATAAATGAGTTTATAGTACATTAATGAATAAAAATTAAATAAAAACAGATATATCTGACAGAAATACATCAAAATTCGTTTAAATTAATAATAAAGTGAGTTCATCATAATATGTAAATTAATATTTTTAACTGACTGTATCAAATTACCCTTAAGAGTTACTGATTATGTTAATCGCTAAATCCTTCAACCAATCAATTCTAAAGGACTACCTATCCCTCAACCAATCAATTCTGAGGGTTTCAACTAGACTAACTCCTTCAACCAATCAGTTCTGAAGGACTACCTATCCCTCAACCAATCAATTCTGAGGGTTTCAACTAGACTTACTCCTTCAACCAATCAATTCTGAAGGAGAAACTAGAATGCCTTGAACCAATCAATTCTCAAGGGCTTACATCATAAACTCATCATGTGCCTCGAACCAATCAATTCTCGAGGACTTTTGACTAATCTCTCTCTCGAATCTCTAAACCAATCACTTCTTAGAGTCGAGGAGCGATATCTGTAACAATACAAAATCATACAATGAACAAGTATCCGGTAAAATCAACTAAATCACATAATATCATGTCCTTTACAAAGCTCATCTACATTTCATCACCGCTACTATCATCATTCGATTCATTCATGCAACCAGTGCCGTCATCGTCCACCCCCAGTGACTTGATATGAATCCAAGGACGCATTCGATCCACAGCCACAGTAGTGTTGCGCCTGTTTTTCATGCCCTCAAATCCCGGGATAGGAGCCAGTTTATACCTGTCGTTACCCAAGACCTTCGAAACTCTAAAAGGCCCCTCGAATGAAGGTAAAAGCTTTGAACTTTTACCGTCATTCTGCAAATTCACTTTAGTAATTTTTACCAAATCTCCTTTACTATAAATCCTAGCCTGCTTTCTACTCTTATCATAATACTCCTTTTGATTTTTTTGTTGTTTATCTATTCTATTTTTAACTTCTTCGCGAACTAATTCAATATTGTGATCAAGGTCATTAGCTTGGGTTACTTCGTTTAATATAGGACATATAATATATTTCACTATTTATAGATACACCAAACATAACTTCCGCGGGTGTTCTACCTATAGTCTTCTGTAAGCTATTGTTCAGACCCCACTGAATTTTTCCTATCTTACTGTCCCAT